ACTTCTATAAATTATGACCTTCACAATAATTTCAAACTAGTTTTAGGACAATAATTTATGAACTTTCGTAGTTTGTTTTAGGCGTGTAAATGAATTATCGTGATTATGGGTACGATTCCCTTGGCATATTCATGATACGTAATCCCCAATTCAGGTGTGCATTTCATGTGACCCAACCATAACTTCTAATAATAATTAAAATAAATATGTTGCAAATCACGGGTGCATTTCATGTGGCGCGATTCGCAATGTGTTTAAAAACAATAAGTGTGCGACATCGCGACTTATTTAATTAAACTCCATAAATATTAAAAGCGATTAAAAAGTTAAAAATGCACAATAGATTTAAAACATGTAACTAATCAGATAATTAGGCCAATTATTAATAGTTGAGCGACCGTGCTAAAACTACGGAACCCGAGAATGTCTAACACCTTCTCTCGGGTTAACAGAATTCCTTACTCAGTCCTCTGTGTTCGTAGACCATAAAATAAGAGTCAATTTCCTCGATTTAGGATTTTAAAATAAACCGGTGACTTGGGACACCATATAATTATCCAAGTGGCGACTCTGAAATAAATTAAATAATCTCATTTCGATTAATGTCACTTAAATTGGAAAAACTCTCAATCCCTCTCGGAAAAAAGGAGGTGTGACAATTATCATGCCCAGAGGTTACAGAATCAAGCTCTGATGTCAATTGTCACAGTATGACCAATTAAGATGAATTTAACAGATGCTAAAAAGAATTGCAACAATTTTTTGGGATAATTTTCGATTTATTGAAATGAAAAACAAAACTGACTTAGAAGCTAAGAAAAATAAAAATTAACAACTAAATAAATCGGAGATACATAGCTGTGCTCTAGATCTGCAGAAGAAGAGAAGGGATTTGGGTTAGAAGAGAAGAGAAAGAGGAGAGAACCAGAAGACGAAAAGGAGGAGTGAGAAAAGAAAGATACCGTGTAATCGTGTTATCGGCAAAACCTGGACTTTTGAAGCAGACGATTATTTTGAGCCGTCGATTAACCGATCCATTAGGCCTCCCCCACTGATTCAAGTTTGAACTCCGCTATCTATATTTATTAAACTAATAATTTTGGGGTCACAACAGGTATGGAGAGATAAACTCAATGCGAATATTAAAAAATGAAGAATTTCAAAGTTCTCAGCTCGATTGACGATTTAGAAACTGAGGACCGAGTTGAATGGAGAATATGGTTTCAATTAATTTTGACTAGAGAAACAGTAGCTCTTATACACATGGGAGGACCCCTGATTTCCCAAGTTTCACCTTCAACCGTCACAAATTGAATAGTTACCTCAAATCAAATAATTATAAGAATTTTAAATTAAAGTAAGAATATTATTAAGTGATAAAGAATTATATATAAAACGTAGATGTTGTATTCGTTTATTGGTATTAAATGTCATACATGAACAATTTATTTTTTTAACATAAGTGGAAGATTCATAATTTTCAAATCGGATGCTCGTAGCCCTTATTTAAAGTTGTTACTTTATAAGATTGGGTGCTCAATCAATATCTTTATTTGTTATTTACTACTAGTAGTTTTCAGTAAAAAAATATACACAATTGACGTAAGTGTAGGTCTGCCATTGCATAATGTACGTTTTCAGTGCTTTAGAATATTTGTACGTTATCAAACAATAACAAAGCATATATGTCAATGTATAAAATATTTCGTGGAAATTGAACTTTCAACCTCCTGAGTACAGTATATTCACGTTAACTTTGTTACAATCACTAAACTTAATTGGCTTAAATAATAAATGATGTTTCATCTATTTACAGACGAAGAGATTAGTATATTCCAGTTTTATCAAATGAGTCCGCTTACCATTTTCAATTGATATTTTTATTGATATTGCATAATGTTTTGGTATTATTTCTTTCTACATAATTCTTACCACTTTTAAGAAGTTAAACTTGTCTAACTATTCAAGCTTTAAAACTTAATGTAATGTTTTCTCTACCAAACAAGCATCTCAATCATAACTTCAAATTTCTTCAACTATTATTAAATTAATTATCATTTTAAACTTTTAATTCAACAAATATAACGCAAAAGCACGTGATAACTGTCTAAAAGTCATCCATCAAATAATATGGAATTATTTGCAACATATGATATTTTTTTAAGCCACCATTAAAATTTTGTCTCCGTTAGATTAGTGGGAATATCTGACTTAAAAAAAAGTAATTGGATGAATTTTTCTTTTCTTATGGACAAATTTGGCTTAATGTACTAATGACAACAAAATTTGAATTAGTAGCCTAAGAAAGGCCATTTGTGCAAATGTGCATTGGGTTGGGTGAAAATAGCATAGGCTAGCCAGTTTTCAAATCCGATAATTGAAAAATAGTCAGTTTTTACAAAGTCATTAAAAAATAGCTACTATTTTATGTGGAAATAAAATCTGGATAAAAATACTCCAGCTAAAATGTGGAAAGTTCCAGCATAATATGCTTGATTATGGAGCTCCTGTATATAAACTTCCAACATATTATGCTAATTTTCAGTATATTTCTGAAACTAACCCAATAGCCAGAATCGTTTAAGGGTATTTTCGTTCAGATTTTATTTTTATATAAAAAATGACTAAATTTTTATTACTTTTAAAATTATGGCTAATTTTCAATTAGTAGTTATAAATCCAGTTTCGTTCCTATACCATATAGGAGACTATATTACCAAATATGTTCATAGTATGAAAATTACCCACCATGTTAATAGTTTTTCTACAAAAAATAGACAATTCATTAAATAAGAAATCATTGTAGCTGTAGGCTTCCTTATTTAGGCGCGCTAAAATTGGGGAAGTAAATTTTCTTCCAGATATTTCATTAAATAAGGAATCATTATAGTTGTAGACGTCCTTATTTAGGTGCGCTAATATTGGGAATTCCTTAATTAGTTGTCTGGTTTTAATGGATTCTATCTAATCTTTTTAAAATATTTAACTACTTGGAACTTAACTGAAAGAATTAAAAATATACAAGTTGTTCTAGGCTGTCAACACTTACGTCTAACGTAACAATATTGCAGATGTGTGTTAGTAAGAAAAAGGTGGATGATTTAGTACTATTTTGAACAAAAATATGTATCTAAAATGTGAAACATACATTTCAGGGGAAGCATGTCGAGTCCAAATATGTACCCAGTTTGTAGATATTATGTAGATAAATTGTAGATTATTTGTATTCTGATTGTAGATGCTTTATTTTCTGTTTTCGCAAATAAAAAACGACTAAAACTTTTACAAATCTTCTGAAAAAATGTAATTATGTCAAAAAGCTCAATTATGCTACAATTGAATGGGAATTGGGATATTAAAATTCAATGTACCCAGTTTATAGATATTTTGTAGATAAATTGTAGATTATTTGTATTCTGATTGTAGATGCTTTGTTTTCTGTTTTCACAAATCAAAAACGACTAAAACTTCTACAAATTTTCTGCAAAAAATGCAATTATGTTGAAAATCCCAATTATGCTACAATTGAATGAGAATTGAGATATTAAAATTCAATGTACCCAGTTTGTAGATATTTTGTAGATAAATTGTAGATTATTTGTATTCTGATTGTAGATGCTTTGTTTTCTGTTTTCACAAATCAAAAACGACTAAAACTTCTACAAATCTTCTGCAAAAAACGCAATTATGTCGAAAATCCCAATTATGCTACAATTGAATGGGAATTGGGATATTAAAATTCAATGTACCCAATTTGTAGATATTTTGTAGATAATGTACAATTTTGTGATTCTCCTATATGCTCTTGTTACTCCTTACGAAACTGCTATGTTAAATATGGAATCCAAAAAAACATGATAAAGGGATAGATCTTCCTAAGCAAAATCCTCCCATGAACTGTTACAAGAAAATTGACTTTTGCCAACAATTAAAGCATCAAAAGAAAAAGATAAAAAGATCTGTTCGAGCTCACAACATATTGAGAATCAAACTCTGGGAGATAAACCTTAATGTGAAGGAACTCAAAATCATAACCATCAAATCGACCAGGCTTGTGCTCATCTTCCCCGGGCACAAAAACATTGGGACAAGATTGCAGAGGTGCCGACAGTGCCTTGGCTATGGAAGAAATAATAGGGTTTTGATACAGAAATCGTGAATGTGGGAGGGAAACGTGGGTGAAGGTATGGGAATTGGAGA